AAAAAAATTTGCTCTGTAATGTGAACTTCAGAGTATATATGGATAACGTGGAAAAGAGTCAAAAACAGCCGTATATACATGATAATGAAACCTGTTCCATCCTGTGAGGATTTATTCTTTGCTTTTTTTCACTGGTCATTTCCTGGCTTTATCAGTTCCTAGTCAGAACTCCAGCCTTACAGAGAACTGAGTTCTCATGAAGTGAATTACTTGAGAATTACAGATAGGATAAGGATGCGGGGTCACTGGTAGAGGTGGCAGAGGGACCTTTCTGATGGACTCATGTCAGCACAGCTAAGGTGGGTAATCTGTTGGTAAACCCTGTTTATGGCCGAGCAGAGGATGAGTTTCGACAGTGTGCTCTACATGTGTCCCAGTATTTGAAAAATACAATTAAATCATCTGTATTGAAAACATTGTACCGTGTGACAGTTTTTAAATATGCAATTGCATGATGAGACAGATACTAAGCTCCCAGTAATCACAGAAGGCATTTTCAAAGCACGCTAACCCAAAGAGTATTTGAAATACACTAGTTTATCAATTCTTCATGAAAATGGAACAGTGGCAGAAACTTAGAATTTGCCATACCTAGTGGTTTCTATTTGCGTTACACACGTATCTGATAACACAGATTATATAAACACATTACAAATATGGGAATAAGATTCTTAATTTTTCACTTATGATACTAGCAAAGGAAAATCTATACAGTATAACTTTCTTCTAGATGGCGGATATCTGCAGAATTGTTAATCTTACAGAAATGTTAAGATATCTGCATTTGTCACTTAAGACTTAATGGCTCATGTGTAACATGCAAGCGTTAAAAAATAATTTGCAAGATGCATCAACAGTAATTGCTTTATGCCATTAAAATAGAGTTTATATATTACCTTTTATAATGCCACAACACTGTAAAAAGATTTAAATCTTTATATACATATATATGGGGGGTTGTATGTATGTGTATTCTTTTTTTTCAAGCCTTCCTGAGTTATAGCTTTATTGAAATAAAGAATAGTATGTCAGGGAATAAGTTCAAGCATGCTACATTAACTTGCTTCAAACCTTCCAATTCCAAAGGGCTTTCCATCTCACACCTACCCAACCCCATTACACCTCAGACTTTAATTCCTGCTATTCTTTCCTTCCTCACTCACTGGCCTCCTTGTATACCTAAACAATACCAGAATATCCCAAAATTAGAATGTTTTCATTTGCACTTTCTCTGTCTGGAATACTTCTCCCCAGACATTCGTGTGGCTTGCTAGACAATGATCTTATTCATTTAAACATCACTTAGTGAGTGAGGGCTGTTATGGTTTCCACTGTGTTTAAAAATGTAATCAGACAAAGAAAGACAAATACCATGTGATTTCACTTATATGTGAAATCACTCATATGTGGAATCTGAAAAACAAAACAAACAAAACAAACAGATTCATAGATTCAGGAAACAAACTTGGTTACTAGATGGGGAGGGGCTGGGTGATGGGCCAAATTGTCGAAGGGAATTAAGAGCTACAAACTTCCAGCTATAAAGTAAATAAATCATGGGGTTGTAATGTACAGCATAGGGAATATAGTGAATAATATTGTAATTAGCATGGTGACAGATGGTAACTAGACTTGTCATGGGGATCATTTCACAATGTATAAAAATATCAAATCACCATGATGTATACCTGAAACTAATAGGATATCGTATGTCAATTATACTTCAATTAAAAAAAATTGCAATCTACACCCAACCTATTCTTCCATTCCCTGTTGTAGTTTTTCTCCCCATTATCAGTTGCTAACTATATATATTTTAATTTTTTGCTCATTATCTGTTTTTTCCCCACTAGAATACGAGAGTGTAAACTGCAAAAATTTAGAATTTTTTTTTTCTCTGTGGCTTCCCTAGTGCCTAGATCCATATCTGTCATGTAGTGGGTACTCAGTAATGTTTGTTGAATGAGTGAATGGACTATAAAACAAATATGAAGAAGATGGTGCCCTCAAGACTGATACTGAAATGTGTGTGCTGAAATGCATGTATGTGGGGTTTAGGGCCAAGCAATCACTAGGACCAAAATGTTAGAGACTAATCAATATTAACAAATTGGTTAATATTTTTTAAGTCATTGACAGAGACCATTATAGGTGACCATTTTATTTTACTTGCTTAATGTTTGCCTTTATGAACATTATTTTGTATGAATTAAAAAGGGGTTTATGATATTTTTAAAAGGGGCCAGAGGAGAGTGCTGTTTCATTATGAGTTAAAGAATGAAAGTTATGGAATATTGGAATATTGCTACCAGACAAGGATGAGGTCCTGATAAGGATTTTTTTTTTTTTTTTAAAGGTAAGTACAGGACACCTGGGTGACTCAGTGGGTTAAGCGTCTGCTTTCGGCTCAAGTCATGATCCCAGGATCCTGGGATCAAGACCCGCATCGGGCTCCTTGTTCAGCAGGGAGCCTGCTTCTCCCTCTGCTTCTTGCTCCCCCTGCTCGCTCAGTTTCTCTCTCTCTGACAAATAAATAAAAATCTTTTTAAAAAAATAAAAAATTAAAGTAAAATTTAAAAAGGTGAGTAGTGGTGAGTTCTCAAATGTTTTGACAGAGGCTGATTTTAACAGAAAAGAGATGAAGCTAACCTTAATTAATGGATCTTCACTTAGGGGAAGGTAAACGTGAAGGTCTGGATATAAATGACAACCAGAATGTTGTCAGAATCATGTCAGAAAGAGAGGGAATTACTAAAACATACTGTAGTTTCTTTGCCGTCTCAGAGGAGCTGGAAGAAGACAGTTCTGATCAGGCCAAGGTGAAAGTAGGAAATCATTACCTTACGGAAAATGTGTTACTGCTTGGGTACTGTATTGAACTTGTTTTAGTTGGTTTAAGAGGAGCAGGGTGGAAAGGATTCTGACGTAGAGACATGTTACAACAGATGAAGGGAAATTAGAGTCTAGAACGAAGTGGGCTTGTCCAGGCTCTCGGGAAGGTCGTGGCCGAGCCAGAACTTGAACCACAGTGGTTCAGTAAGTTCCTAGATCAAGTTATTTGTATTCTATTGATGTTTTCTTAATTCATACTGATATATTGTGAAGGTCTGTTACATGCGAGCTACTATTCTAAGCACTGTGCATCCAGCGTTGAAAACAACCCCTTGCCTACCCGCCCCCCCGCCATGGGGAGACAGAAGGGAAACGTGCCCTCAGTCACAGAGGGATAAATACTGTGGAGAAAACAGAGCCGGTCGAGGAGATAGGAAGCAGCTGCGGTGGGGAGGGGCGAGCAGAGGAAAAGTGGCATTGAGGCAGCTATGGGGGGTGGGGCTGCGGATCTCCAAGGACAGAGTGAGAGCAAAGGCTCCAAGGATGGGCTGCCTGAGGGGTCTGAGGAAGGCAGGGGTCAGTGTGGCTGGAGCCCGAGGAGCAAGAGGGGGATGAGGAGGGCAGGAGGGGCTGGGGCAAGGCAGGCGGAGTGGGATCACAGAGGGCCTTCAGCCGTTCCAGCAACTGGACTTTCACTCTGAATGAGACCCTGTGCCACGTGATGGCTTGGAGCACAGTGTCCGAATGTGGCTTATATTTGCAGAGGCTCAGCTTGGCTGCTGTGTGCAGGGTAGGTGTGAGAGCGCGGGGGGTGGGTGGCTACAAGGTTTTGTGTGATGGGGGCAGGAGGAGGTGGGGGCTTTGACCAGAGCGGGGGGCGGGGCGGGGAGGCTCTGAGGGTCAGGAGTGCTCAGATCCTGAACAGAGAAGGTAGAGCAGACAGGATTCACGGACCGGTTGGAAATGAGTGTAGAAGAAAGGGGGGGGGGATGGGGGCTGAAGTGGGTACCCCCCCCCCGGCTTTGTTCTGAGCAGCTGGAAGAATAGAGTTGTCCTTTACTGAAAGAAGGAAAACTGCTTGAGGGGCAAGTTCAGAAAGTCTCTTTTAATCTCTAGTGCTCTCTCTCTCTGTTCCCTTGTAATTTATAATTTGTTGAAAAAACTGGATTGTATAATCGGTAGAATTTCATACTGCACGGATTCTGCTGACCTTTCCCGTTGGGGTCATTTAGCATATTCCCCTCCCCCAAATATACATTGTTTTCAGTGCATGTTTCCCTGAAGCTGGCAGTCAGGACTGCGAGCTCGGTGAAGTTCTTGTTTGATTTTTCGCACACCGCTTCCCAGGCAGAGTTGTGTACTTCCACCGGAAGGCACATGTCCTCTGGTTGGACATGCCGTTATATTAGCAGCCGTGAATTAGCCATTGCTCAGAGCCCCCTTGTTAGAAGTTACAAAATGATGGTCCTATAATCCCATCACTTAGTCCTCATTTATGAGCTGGAATATTTCCATACAGAGAGCGTTAGTTCTGTGACGGTTCCTACAGGAAAGGTAGGCTAAATGCTGGATTCTTCGTGCTTATTTCCTAATATTCAAAATAACGAGTTAGTTACTTGGCATTTTCCAAGACTGAACATTTCTTTTTATTTTAATGAACTCCTGGAATTAAACATCCCTAATGTATTTTATTCCATTGCAGGAGATTCTTACTGATGTTAAAAAATCATCCTTCTTTGTTCCTGGGGGTTTCCGAACTGCACTCTGTTTCCAATAGCTTATTTGTTTCTATGTGACATTATGTTCCAGGCTTATTTTGTGCATTTCCAGCCCTGAAATCAGTCACTTCACCCGGCAGCCCAGTTTCCTCTTAATGAAAAATCATATTGAGTGAGGACAATCTGGTTCTACAGGTTGTCCTTGTTTGGGGCCTTTTCCAGTGGACAGAGCTAGGACATAGGTCTGCATTTTTTAAAAAAGAAAAATTATGGGTTCCAGTGATATTTCTAATTCAAATTCAGGAGTATGTAGGGTTATAATTTATATTCATCAATCTTATATTCACTTCTCCTCCTTTTTTTTTTTTAAGATTTTATTTATTTATTTGAGAGAGAGAGAATGAGAGACAGAGAGCATGAGAGGGAAGAGGGTCAGAGGGAGAAGCAGACTCCCTGCCGAGCAGGGAGCCCGATGTGGGACTTGATGCAGGGACTCCAGGATCATGACCTGAGCGGAAGGCAGTCGCTTAACCAACTGAGCCACCCAGGCGCCCCATCACTTCTCCTTTTCACACATTGAAATTTTCAGGGTCCAGAGCATCAAGGTAATTACTCATTTGTATTGTTGCCCATGTATAGAGCATTTCAGTAACAGAACGCAGGGTCCAATTTTACCTGAAAGGTCACAGTGAAAGGGACATTTGTTGACAAGATGAGGATGCATATTCTGATTAGAGCAAACAGCATATACAAAGATTCAGAGGCTTGAGAGAGCACAGTTCATCTAAGAAAGAGCAGATGCTGTTGTACCAGAGGAGTGATGGGTCAGGGAGTCAGGAAGGACTGGGAACATGATGAGCTCACATTCAGTGCCGTGAACCATGAACATTAGCATCAACCACAGACAAGCTGTTTTCTGTGTTTAGGAGGTATCTTGTATTTAGTTTTCGGGTTTCTTTTTTTTTTTTTTT